TGTATTTTTATTTCCAGGTGGACTTTGGTACTGTCTTCCGTTTATCTTCATCGACAGAACCATTGAAGGTCATAACGCTTGAAGTCAGTGGTCCAGATCTATTACGAGTGTCTGTAAACACGAGGCAGTCGAATAGATCAGTGCTGATCGCTGCAGTGCTAGCCGATGGAATTACTCATCAGCTAGGATTGGGGTATGTCAACTTAAATGTATTTATTTATTTTTTCAATATTTTTTATCTAGGGTATTTATCCATATTATTTCAATTTAMAACAAGCCAATAGTAAATTATATTTTTATAATATAACATACAATAATTTAAAATTGTCGAGTTAAATATAATTATAAAAATTATTTTTTATGTGTGCATAACTATATAATATATAGTCTAATTGTAAGCTAATAAATTTGATTTTGATGCTGTAACAATAAAAAATAGATAAAATAAAATTATTGAGTCCATTTGGTGCATAATATAGTATATATAATAATACTTATATAAGTATTTATTGGTTTATGTAGGATAATACTATACCTACTACTAAACTAAAATATTACAATACTGAATTATATTAGTATTAATATTAGTATCGGATAAGTTTTATAGTTATACCACAAATAAAAAGTCAGTATGTTGGATTTTACAGAATAAAATAAAAATTACAAATAGGTATGAAAGTTAAATGTATTATCATTCAGTCGATACGTTTAAGTTCTGTATATACCTAATCRTAAATAATTTTTAGTACATAGCATAATTTTAGCAGTTTTAGATATTTCTTAATGTTTTAGTAAAGGAAATGTAGGATAATAAATATTATACATATAACTCGTATTGAGAACTGAAAACCGATAGGATTTAAATAAGAAAATCCCTATTAAYTTTATTAACTAAGACTAAAGATCTTTGAGGAAATTATTTTATTCTTATTCAAGGACATTTAGGTTAGTTTTTATTTAATCCGCACTTACAACTATTTTTTTTCTTATTATTAAAAAAAAGGTATTTATTATCTATAATCTAATAAATAATATCTAAATAATATAATATTTCATATTATAATATTATTTGTAGATTTCAAAAAGATGAAATCATAGCGTATTTGGACTGTAGATGGGTTACGACTGAGACGCTGATGCAAAATTCATATGCCTCATCTCCGGAATATTATGATATGGACGTCTTCGAGGAATCGTTAACGGTATGTTTCATATTTAATAAATATTACAGTCCATCATTCATATACAACATAATACTTAATACTCATCATAAATTACGTTGTAATATAGTATATATCAATATTATTTTAAGAAATRATAAAATAACCTTTACTTTAAATATTTATTTTAAAAAGTTAATTCCAAAAAATATTTTCACTACCTAAAAAAATACGAGTATTTTTTTATGCTTATCATACAGTCGTAAAAGTTTGTTAATGTTTTGTTATATCACTTTTTGAAATGCTTAATTTAAGCCAAACGTATACAATGATTTATAATAATATGATGTATGGCAATAAATTGATACTATTTTTTAAATCTTAATAGGCTCTGTAACACTTGAGACGAAACAAATTCAGTATTTAAGAAGTTACTTGGAAAGATTCATACAAATAAATRAGCTACATTTGTTAATCAAATACTTTAATCTTAGATTTTAATTGGTTTTTGGATTTGAATTAATTGACATGTTTAATCYACTAGAATAGATTTCGCAAATGGTGTTAAAACGTCGTTGAGAACAAAACGATAAGAAACTCATAACTATGTACATTATGTTGTACCTACTTATTATTTTTAATGACTCTTTTAAGATTTAAACTTT